GCCTAGTAACTAAGGGTGTACTCACCCTGTAACGTGACGTGCCCAAGCACATTTGACCCCCAAAGTCCAGTTACTTTGACTAGTGTGATCATTCCATACTGTGGTCTAGCCAACTTGAAAGCAGTAGTCTGGAACACAGATGAGTTGGACATGGGCATGACATGAATCAGTGTGATAGCTAACTGTGCCCAAGTACAAAACTCGAACGCTGCAGCAGATTAGCTACATTTATGCCCACTCAGGATATGCTCAGGACCAGTCCAATCAGAGCACAGGAAGCAAGCTTGGGCTTGCCACAACAGGCCTCCTGGAGAGTGGAGATGGGGACAATCATGTTTGGACATGGTACAAGGTAACCTTGCCTACTATGAGTACAACCTAATATGAAGCTGTGTTTTCTTTGAATACCCAATCATTCGCAAGAAAAATTATTGATTATTAAAGTACTCACAGTCCAGGAAGTGGAACGGTGGTACATAGATGCAGAGTGTATTGGTGCAGAGATATTGGGCACCACATTATGTAAGTGTAAAATTTGCAATACTTTTTATTCAAGTGTTAATTAAATACTGCACAGTGAGAGATTCTGTCTTTGTTGTCCTTGGGTGACATTGATGGAGAGATATTGGGTACATAGGAAACGTGATGATTGGAGGAAAAGTGAGGAACAGCAGTTGGAGAGCATCTGGGGCAAACAGCGCTTTATGACCTTTTCTTTTAAATAAGAGGGTCATGGATCTTTGATGAGTGCATTGTGCTGACACAGGAGGTGAAGCACTTTGGGAAGATTTGGTAGCACAGAAACAGTATTTCCATATTGGTGTTGGACTGCATGTAGCACTATTTATTGTATGTTATTTTGGTTCATGGCATTTGGAGACTGAGTAAGGGGTGTCAATGGGAAGTGTAAGCACCCACTTATAGTTTCACTTTCACAACTAGGAGCACCACTAGGTACTCTTAAAGGGGCAGCTACAAAAAAATAATTGCAACGCACCTGCTCTTAAAGGGGCAGCTACAAAAATATTGCAACGCATCTATATTGTGCAGGTGTACATAAGGTTTCACTATATTAGTATTTCACTTTTGGTAATATATGAATGGTATTATGGTTCTGCACAGGCAGTAATTTAGCTTGGAGGAAAGGCACCATATCTCTTTTATTATTTTTTTATTTTTATTTGGTTTTATTTGGTTCATGGTATTTGGAGAGTGTAAGCGCCCATTTATAGGTTCATACTCAAAGCTTTACCACATTCACTAAGTTAAATGGACATTCATTTTGCAATGTGAACATGCCCTATCTCCTAGTAAACCCACCACACCTTTGTAGCTTTTCAGAGACTCAAAAAAATACACAGTTCTATTAGGGAGGTGAAAGAGATGCTACATAGGGTTATATATATTATTATGCATTTCAGGAAAGTGTTCGCTCATCATTTGTGTGAACAGACATCCCCCAAATTTATTGGAATGTCAAGATGTCACCGTATCACCTACACCCTCAATTTCAAAAAAGTTGGGATGCTGTGTAAAATCTACATAAAATTAAAACGGAATGCAATGATTTGCAAATCTAATAAACCCATATTTTATTGACAATAGAACATCAAAAACATACCAAATGTTTAAACTGAGAAAATGTACCATTTTAAGAAACATTTCATTCAAAAAGTTAATTTTGAAATTGATATCAGCAACACGTCTCAAAAAAGTTGGGACAGGGCAACAAAAATCTGGCAAAGTAAGTGGTGCTTACAAGGAAGAGATGGAAGAACAGTTTGTAACTAATTAGGTTAATTGGCAACTGGTCAGTAACACAATTGTGTATAAAAAAAGAGTATCTAAGAGAGTCAAGAGTGTCTTGTGAGTAAAGATAAGCAGAGGTTCACCAAGCTGTGAAAAGTTGCATATAAAAATTGTCGAACATTTTCAGAGTAACATATCCATAAAAACAAATTATTTTGCCCTGGGACTTCTATATTAGGCGCAATACGTACAAACAATAAATAACTAGTATACAGGTGAAACTCGAAAAATTTGAATATCGTGCAAAAGTTCATTTATTTCAGTAATGCAACTTAAAAGGTGAAATTAATATATGAGATAGACTCATTACATGCAAAGCAAGATAGTTCAAGCAGTGATTTGTCATAATTGTGATGATTAGCTTACAGCTCATGAAAACCCCAAATCCACAATCTCAGAAAATTAGAATATTACATGCAATCAATAAAACAAGGATTGTACATAGAACAATATCGGACCTCTGAAAAGTATAAGCATGCATATGTACTCAGTACTTGGTTTGGGCCCCTTTTGCAGCAATTACTGCCTCAATGCGGCGTGGCATGGAAGCCATCAACCTGTGGCACTGCTGAGGTATTATGGAAGACCAGGATGCTTCAATAGCGGCCTTCAGCTCTTCTGCTTTGTTCGGTCTCATGTCTCTCATCTTTCTCTTGGCAATGCCCCATAGATTCTCTATGGAGTTCAGGTCAGGCGAGTTTGCTGGTCAATCAAGCACAGTAATCCCACGGTCACTGAACCAGGTTTTGGTGCTTTTGGCAGTGTGTGCAGGTGCCAAGTCCTGCTGGAAAATGAAGTCAGCATCCCCATAAAGCTTGTCTGCGGAAGGAAGCATGAAGTGTTCCAAAATCTCCTGGTAGATGGCTGCGTTGACCCTTGGACTTAATGAAGCACAGTGGACCAACACCAGCAAATGACATAGCTCCCCAAATCAACACAGACTGTGGAAACTTCACACTGGACAGTGTGTGCCTCTCCATTCTTCCTCCATACTCTGGGTCCTTGGTTTCCAAATGAGATGCAAAAGTTGCTCTCATCAGAAAAGAGGACTTTGGACCACTGAGCAACAGACTAGGTCAGTTTTTCTTTAGCCCAGGTAAGACGCTTCTGACGTTGTTTGTTGTTCAGGAGCGGCTTGACAAGAGGAATACGACATTTGAAGCCCATGTCCAGGATCCGTCTGTGTGTGGTGGCTCTTGATGCACTGACTCCAGCCTCAGTCCACTCCTTGTGAAAGTCCCCAACACTTTTGAATGGCCTTTTCCTGACAATCCTCTCCAGGCTGCGGTCATCCTTGCTGCTTGTGCACCTTTTTCTTCCACACTTTTCCCTTCCACATAACTTTCTATTAATGTGCTTTGATACAGCACTTTGGGAACATCCAACTTCTTTTGCAATTACCTTTTGAGGCTTTCCCTCATTATGGAGGGTGTCAATGATGGTTTTCTACACAACTGTCAGGTCAGCAGTCTTTTCCATGATTGTGATTCCTACTGAACCAGACTGAGAGACCATTTAAAGGCTCAGGAACCCTTTGCAGGTGTTATGGCTTAATTAGCTGCTTAGAGTGGGACACTTTGAGCCTAGAATATTGCACCTTTTCACAATATTCTAATTTTCTGAGATTGTGGATTTGGGGTTTTCATGAGCTGTAAGCCATAATCATCACAATTATGACAAATCACGGCTTGAACTATCTTGCTTTGCATGTAATGAGTCTATCTCATATATTAGTTTCACCTTTTAAGTTGCACTACTGAAATAAATGAACTTTTTCACCATATTCTAATTTTTTGAGTTTCACCTGTATATGAATTTCAGAATAATGTTCCACAACATAAAACTGCAAAGGCTTTTATTATATATCATCATCTAAAATACACAATATCATCAACAGATTCTGAGAAACTAGAGAAATCTCTGTGCGCAAAGGACAAGGCCAAAACACAATATTGGATGTGAGTTATCTTCGGGTCCTCAGAAAGCACTGAATAAAAAACAGTCATGATTCTGTGATGGACATCACTCAATGGCTCAGGAATACTTCCAAAAATCACTGTGTGAAAGCTGTTCGCTGTGCCATCCAAAAATGCAAGTTAAATCGCTCTCATGCAAAGAAGCTATATCTGAACATGATTCAGAAATGCTGCTTTCTTCTCTAGGCCAAAGCTCATTTTAAATGGTCTGTGACAAAGTGGAAAACTGTCCTGTGGTCAGTCAAATCAATATTTGACATTCTTTTTGGTAACTACGTGTGCCGTGTCCTCCAGGCTAAAAACAAAAAGGACCTTCTAGCTTGTTTTCATTGCGCAGTTCAAAAGCCTGCATCTCTGATTGTATGGGGGGTGCATAATTGCATATGGAATGGACAACTTGCAGAAAGGTACCATCAGTGCTGAAAAAAATATATCCAGCTTTCAGAGCAACATATGCTCCCAATCAGATGACGTCTTTTTCAGTGAAGGCCTTAGCTGGCCTGACTGCAGTCCAGGCATTTCCCCAACTGAAAATATTTGGCTCATCTTGAAAGAAAAATACAATAAAGAATACTCAGGATTGTTGAGCAGTTTGAATTTTTTTTCAGACAAGAATGGGAAAACATACCTCTCCCAAAACTCCACCAACTCTGGATGCTACATCGTGATAAACATGGCTCTTTCCCAACTTTTTTGAGATGTGTTGCTGCCAATTTCACCATTACCTCCCCCCCCCTTAAACTTTTGCATATTTTTATAGTTTAAAACATTTGATGTTTTGTATTTTCTACTATGATTAAAATATGTGTTTTAGATTTTCAAATAATTGCATGCTATTTTTTTATGTAGATTTTACACAGCATCCCAACTTTTTTGGAATCGGGGTTGTATAATGAAGCTGACAAGCAGCAGTGTACAACAGTGCACATCCAAAATAATCATAATCTTATTGGATGTGCACAATAAAATAATTTAATTAGCAACCACATGAGAAACACCTAAAAATGTTTAGCTGTGCAATATTATGGGCTATCCATAGTACTGGTGTTGTGTAAACACATAAAATCAGCACTTACAGTGTTAATTTTAATTTTCTGTTGTCAATCTAAAAAATTGTGTACTGAAAATACTCTCTACATACGTCAGCCTGTGGTGAACAGGAATAAAAATAAAGTTATGTCAACAGTACTAATGCGCAAATGGAGCCATTTTTTGATACAATATTTACCACAAACACACTATATTGCCAAAAGCATTGGGACACCCCTCCAAATCATTGGATTCAGGTGTTCCAATCAGCTGCTTCTACAAATATTTGTGAAAGAATGGGTTACTCTCAGGAGCTCAGTGAATTCAAGCGTGGTGTGATACCGTTATAGGTTGCCATCTATCCATCCATGAAATTTCCTTGCTACTAAATATTCCATGGTCAACTGTTAGTGGTATTATAACAAAGTGGAAGCAACTGGGAACAGCAACTCAGCTACAAAGTAGTAAGCCACGACAAAATGGCACAGCGGGGTCAGTGCATGCTGAAGTGCAAAGTGCACAGAAGTCTCCAACTGTCTACAGAATCAATAGCTAAAGACCTCCAAACTTCGTGTGGCCTTCAGATTAGCACAACAGTGTGTAGAAAGCTTCATGGAATGGGTTTCCATGGCCAAACAGCTGCAGTGCAAAGTGCAGTGCACAGCGTCAGATGCAGTTGTGTAAATCGTGCCACCACTGGATTTTAGAGCATTGGAGATGTGTTCTCTGGAGTGACAATTCACGCTTCTCTGTCTGGCAATCCGATGGACGTGTCTGGGTTTGGCGGTTGCAGGAGAACGGTACTTGCCTGACTGCATTGTGCCAAGTGGAAAGCTTGGTGGAAGGGGGATTATGGTGTGGGGTTGTTTTTCAGGGGTTGGGCTTGGCCCCTTAGTTCCAGTGAAGGGAACTCTCAAGGCGTCAGCATACCAAGACATTCTGGACAATTTCATGCTCCCAACTGTTGGGGATGGCCCCTTCCTGTTCCAACAGGACTGCGCACCAGTGCACAAAGCAAGGTCCATAAAGACATGGATGAGCAAGTTTGGGGTGGAGGAACTTGACTGGCCTGCAAAGAGCCCTGACCTCAACCCAATAGAACACCTTTGGGAATATTTAGAGTGAAGACTGCGAGCCAGGTCTTCTCATCCGACATTAGTACCTGACCTCACAAATGTGCTTCTGGAAGAATGGTCAAACATTCCCATAGACACACTCCTAAACCTTGTGGACAGCCTTCCCAAAAGAGTTGAAGCTATTATAGCTGCAAAGGGTGGGCCAACTCAATATTGAACCCTATGGACTAAGACTGGACTAAAGTTCATGTGCGTGTAAAGGCAGGTGTCCCAATACTTTTGGCAATATAGTGTTTTTTTTTTTTTTTTACTCAGACATTAGAAGGTAATCCCAGCACTGATGGAGCTAAATGCAGGATTTTTCATTGATGAGTAATGATGAGCATGTGCAAAATAGTTTTTTTGAAAAGCTTTACCAACAAGCTTTAAGCCTGTACACACGATGAGAATATCGGATGAATGATCATTCATTTTTTTTGGTATGCTAGTATATCAAAAGTGAAGAGGTTACGAAAGTTATGAAAATTCTTGTACGACAGAAAGAAAATTCGGAAGTGATGTAATGTATTTGTATTGTATTTTCGGACAAAAATTTTACTGATTAAACGAAAATCATACGATCTGGTATCCTATGAGAAAGATTTTCATGCTTGTCCCTTGAAATAATCACAAAAACTGTGTACTAACGATCAGATTATTGTACGATCCCTTTGAAAGCGGTATTTTTAATATGATTTTTTGATCCTGTGTAAAAGGTTTTACAATCTTTAAAGTCAATGATCTATTGTTTTTCTATACAAAAAAGGAAACAAACCCATTGCTGATATTTTTTTTGACCCAATATTCAAACTTTTCAGTAAAGCAAAAGTTAAAGTGCTCCTAGCATCAGACATACAGTATATTTTCATGATAAGTGCTGGCATCCTAAGTAATGTCAAACTGTAAAACTTATATGTATTTATAACCTTTCAAAGAGATCACAGTACTACCCCCTCGAAATGCCTTCATCCGCTTCTCTCTCTCTCTATAAAAAAACGTTTAAACTATTTGCCGCAGTGTATTTTAATTCATCACCTGGTCACTGACAATAAGCCTGAGCTCCTCTGTTGACGCATTTCACTCACAAAGAGCTTATTCTTAAAGTGAGAGCTAACTGGAGGAGGAATGATCCTATACATACATCAATGAAACACTTAAGTATGCAAATCACAAACTCTTTATCCCGCACCTATTACTGCCATTCTGTATCAAATACAAAGAGGAGATAGATTTTCTATTTCATGTCGAAACAAAGTATTTTTATACTTATATTTAATACACATTTACCTTGAGGTTTACATTTTAAATAGGATGTATCTCTCTGGTATAGAAGATCTAAGGGTCTTGATAAATCAACTTATTTTCTAGCCACCAAGTACAAGATCAAAGAACAAGAATGAGAGCAGTAAAGATAATCGTTTCTGTATCCCTTGGTTTCACACGAATGTGTTTTTTTTAGTGCGTTTTGCAGAAGCACACTACAGTCCATTAGACATGGTTTCCTATGGGACACATACACATCTATGCATCTAGCTGCTGTGTTTTTTTGGAAAGTGTCAGGGAATTTTTTCCTGCAGCAGATCAAGTTTTTGGTGCAATAGACTTAAAAGGAACGGCACCAAAAATCCATGTGTTGCATTTTTAATGCATTTTGGGCTTTTTTGGCAAACAGGAAAGTTTTGAGTGCGCCTGATTCGACTTTACACTCCCTGGCACAGAAGTTGCATCAAAGCAGTTCAGGAACATTTTCAGTTCAAGTTTTCAAGTTGATTGACAGGAGTGGAAGCCAATGGCTATTGATCTGCCCAATGAGGAAGAACAAAGCCAGGACATCCCCAGCTCTCATGCACAGTGCTGGATCGCAATGGGGCTCAGGTAAGTATAAGGGGGGTGAGGGGGCAAGTCTGTGACAAAGAAGGTTTTTGCATATAATGCATTAAGGTAAAAAAAAAAAACTTTAGGCTTTAGAACCATTTTAATTTGAAATTTTCCTCTCACTTTCTGTTTTGGCTATGGGACATGAAGTGAAGGGAATTCTTCCCAATGGGACACAAATAGCAAAAGATAAACTGACAAGGGTTATGACTGTTCCTATATTTGCCTATAGTTCTATTTTAACATTTGCAAATAATAGGTAAGTATTTGTCAAGTGGTTGAGAGTTATAAAATGTTTCATAGCTTTTAATCACTTCCCATCTAGATCATTTTTTTTCCTTGTTCGCACATATGGTAATATCAGTATTTTTGTGCCATGTTTTCTTTGCTATTTATGACTTTTAAGCAACATCTGACATTGAATCTCACTCATCCTTTCATCAAAAATGGGAATATAATCTTGCAATTCAGTTTGTCCCACAAGAACAGGAAAAGACCTTGTATTATGCCCATAGATCATCCATAGCCATTTGGTTCCAGGAAATGGGGTACCAGATTCTAACAAGATGGTGCAAAGTGCCAGTTTTACGTCATAACATTTTCCCACAAATCTCCAATATAGTTGTTGGTGGTGCAGCAAAGAAAGGCGCACCATGTTACACATTTTCTGGGAATGCCCAAAGATCTGGCCCCTCTGGAAAGAACTCATGAATACAATTAAACTTAAGTAAGTGGACTTGAGTGACAAGCTGGCAGCGTGTCTCCTACACATGACTGAAAGACCTATCTTGAAATATAAATCCTCCTTGACCATCATCTACTTAATGCGGTTAAGGCCTGCGTTCTGATTCTATGGAAACACTCTAGTTTCCCCTCAAAAGCTTTATGGTTTTCCAAAGTCAATGATATTTTAAATATGGTAGGAATTCAGGCAGACTTGGAGACCATGACAGTATTTTACGTTCAAGGAGGCCGATTTAAATGTCTACTCAAATGTAGATAAACCCCAGCAACAGAAATGTTTCATGTGACACTTCCTAGTAGACTTCTCCTCTCTCTCTCTTTTTTTCCTCCTCCATCCCCCTGATTACCTCCTGGAGAGGAAGCTGTCTCCTCTTTTGTTCCCCCCCAACAACCTAGACCCCATTCCTTTTGCCTTGCTTCCTTTTTCTAATTTGGCCTTTCTCCTCCTCCTTTCAATCAACAGTATTGCCCAATTAGTTGGTCATATTAAATTTTGTTTATATTTCAAATAACCCCATATCGTAACATTTTTGTTTTTATGATACCTGAGTAGTCTCCTTACCTGCTTAAGGTAGCATATAGGCAGTATATGCTGAAATGTCAGCAATGGCATGCACCTTTACCTGACTGATATTTCGGAAACTTCTGTCAGAATTGTATACAATTCTGGTATATCATTTGGATCAGACAGTATGATCCTATTACACTTCTGGTTGTTGATTGAATGTGATATGCTTGTAATGTGACCTTTCTAAATAAAGAATTAAAATACAAATCTACATATTTGGCTATAAAATTACTTAAAAGTATGGGTTTCCTTTTTTTAAGCTTCATCCTATTCCCTATTAGCTGCTATTACATAAAAAAACTTTCCAGCCCTCTGAGAAGTGCACCCTTTCTGTTAAAAGGAAGGTAAATACACAGACTTCTCTAGATTCTTATGCTGACAGTCTTGTCTGGATCCACCTCCTTATCTTTTCCTGTTTTTGACTGATGTCAGCTCTAGGCTGTCTGCTCTCCCCCTCCTCCTCTAACACAACATACAGCTCAGATCGATTCTTGTACAGACAGCCTCTATCTGCACACTGTGTAGCCGCCTGCTGTGCTGCAGTTTCTGACGTGTTCCCAGATAAAAAAAAGGCTGTGCAGCAGAACAGTGTGCAGATAGAGGCTGTCTATAAGGAAATCGATCTGAGCTGTGTGCTGTGTGAGAAGAAGGAGGGGAAATGGCTGCAGCATCCAGGTGTGAAAGCTCTGAAACCGGAAGTATTCAAAGCTTAGGGCTTCCAGCTTCAAAGACAACAGAGGAGATCAGGGAACGGATGAATAAAGAAATGATCAACAGCTGCAGCCATGAGCTTCTTTTGTACCCTTCAATCTGTGGACAGATACAGTACAGTACATGGTACATCCAAAGAGCTGAAATGGTTGTAATGTATAATGGTTTTTAGAGAAGGGATTGTTTGTACTGAGCATATATAATTTTTGCACATATATCATGCTTTTGTATAAATATAGAATTGAAAGGGTCAGGATCTGACAAAGCTACGAGGGGCGTGGCGTAACGCGTAGATGTGACGTAGTGACGCACTTCCGGTTTGGCGCCATCTTGCTACACCAGAGTGCCTCAGTACACCCATGTGAGGTGTCACAAGCTCTATCGTTTTGTGCTCAAATGTGAGTTGTAACTTGGCGATTTTATACAGAATAAATGCTTTATACAGTTTTGCACTATGGAGGATCTTTGTGCTTTTGTTTCATGACTGCCACCACCCCATGAGTTTTAAAGTACATATACAGCAGTACCTATCCAGGGGGAATAGCAGATGGTGAAGGAGAGAGCATTGGAGAGTGTGGAGTACCTTTTACCTGGAGGAAACGTATAGGGTCCAGGTGTGACCCGTAAGGCTATTTGGCCCCTGTGGGTCGCAGGGGGAAGGTGAGAGGGCATGCTAGCCATATAAGGATTGTCACCCACCACTTGCACGGGCACAGGAGTATGTGTGTTCATCTAAAGTGTGTCTATACACTTACACTGAATATTGTAGATTATAATTATTATCTTGTTACTAGAACCACCAAGGAGTGTTGATCTATACCCCA